CAGGCATAGCCTGTAATATCCACAGGCAGATTGTGAACAAGGAGAAGCACATCCTTCCCTTCAGCAACACTGGATGGCAGAGATTCAAGAGTGAGTTGGGCAATGGCGGGTGGGTTCCTGTAGGTTACGTGTGAGACTAGGAGGGAAGAGAGAAATTGATCAATATTTGGATCTATGTATTGGGATGGAAAGATGAGGCCCTGTTGAATGAGAAGTTCTCTTCACCTCCTGGACTTGGAGTTTGCATGTGCGAGGGAGAGAGAGAGTGTGTGTGAGATAGTGTTTGTGATAAAATTAATACATTTAGTGAAGGTGTAGATGATGGAACGCTTTTATCAGTACCATTTCTTTACAATAGCAATAAACATTCCAAAATAGAATTAAGAAAACAATTCCATTTACATTAGCATCAAGAAAAGTAGAGCACTTAAGAATAAACTTATCCATAGAGATGTGAGATTCATACTCTGAAAACTATCAAACTTTTTGAAAGAAATTACAGAAGAAGCAAATTAATGGAAAGTCATCCATGTTCATAAATTGGAAGACTTAATATTGCCAAGATGTCAACACACCCAAAACGATTGACATATTTGATAAAATCCCTATCAAAATCTCAATACTTTTTTTTTTTGCAGAAATAGAAAAATCTGTCTTAGAATTTATGTGAGATCTCAAGAGACCTGAACGATAGTAACAATCTTAAAGAAGGGAATGAACTTTGAGATCTCACATTTCCTGATTCCAAAAGATACCACAGAGCTAAAGGAACCAAAATAATGTGACAATGGCATAAAGAGAGACCTATAGCCCATGGAATACAATGGATATGCAGAAATAAATCCTCGATTATGTGATCAAATGTTTGTGACAAAGTTGCCGAGACCATTCGATGGAGAAAGAACAGTCTGTTCAACAAATGGTGAGGAACAGCAATATCCACCAGCAAACGAATAAGTGGACCATTGCCTTACACCATGAACAGAAGTTACCTCCAAATGATCTAATCCCAGAGGTAAGACTTAAAACTATAAAACTTTTAGAAGCTTCATGACATTGGATTTGGCAATGATTTCTTCAATATGACACTATGAACATAGGCGATAGGAAAAAATAGATAAATTGGACTTTTCCAAATGAAAAGTTCTGTTCATCCAAAGACACAATGAACAGAGTCAAAGGTAACCTACGGAATGAGGGAAAATGATTTGCAAATCACATATCAGGTGAGGGGTTACTATGCAGAGGATAAAATGAACTATAAGTAAAGAACAACAAAACCAAATAACCTGACGAAAAAACCGGCAAGCCCTCGAATAGACATTCCTCTAGAGCGGATATACAAATGGTCCATAAGCCCATGAGAAGATGCTCAACATCACTATCACTAGGGGCATGCAAATGGAAACTCTTGTAGTTGGAGTTGTTGCTTGCGACGCTGGATGTGGGTAGCTCCACTGTGCAGATAACCGAGAGAGAATATTGCCCTGTGTGGGACATTTGATTCCTCCAAAGGCGTCTCAATCAGAGTTGGCACCTCTCACCTCTCAGGCAACCTGAGTCCTATGAATGAAGTCTGTGTGTATATCACAAGACATATGCAAGGGACGTGGAGGGACGATGGAGGCACAATCCAGGGGCGATGGAGGCACAGTCCAGGGCTGCCAATCTTGTGTGTGTGAAGTAGAATTCTCACCACTGGACACCCAGAGGTCAGAGAGGAATCACTTACCGTATACACAGAACTGTCCTGTTACTTCTTCATTCAGCAAATTTTTCTTTATGATTTGTAGGGTATAGTATCCTGTGTCCTTTAGGGTGACATTCTGGATCAGCAGGGATCCATTGGGGTATATTGTCTCCCGACCACTGTATCCAGGCCCCGGGTTATTTTCTTGACCGTCTATTGCATATGATGCAATTAGACGGTCTCTGTCCACACTTGCCCCTTTGTACCAGGCATAGGCTGCAAGATCCACAGGCAGATTGTGGACAAGGAGAAGCACATCCTTCCCTTCGGCAGCATTGGAAGGTAGTGATTCAAGAGTGAGTTGGGCAATGGCGGGCGGGTTCCAGGAGGTTAAGAGAGAGACTAGGAGGGAAGAGAGTAATTGATCAATATTTGGATCCATGCACTGGGATGGAAAGTTGAGACCCTGGTGAATGAGCAGGTCGCTTCATCTTTCAGCCTTGGCATGAACGTGACTGCATGTGTGTGTTTGTGAGGGCGTGTGTGTCTCCTATG